GCTGACAGTTATAAAAAGCATTCATAGATTTTTATGGAATGAGAAGCATAAAATCATTGATAGATAAATTGAACTTATTAAGTCAGTATGTACAAACATTAAAAAAGACGCACAATTAGAATGATTTGTAAATTACCAATATACTAAGATTTTTATCGAATGAAGCGTTTTTTTTTTTACAATTTGTTCAATTGTTGGTATGGTACATGATATTGGGTTGGAATTGATAAGTTATTATTTTCAATGTGTATTGAAGAAAAATGAAAAAAATGTTACAGATGTAAGAGAATGATTCACTACACAAAAACTAAGGTAATAACAACGACTCAAAGGACACGATTTCAATCCAATATTTTATACCAAACAAGCCTAGTTGACCCTCCATAGCATAATTATGGGGCAACAGTTAATCGAACACTTTATGTGCAATAATAAACTAGAACCCGAAATGGCTTCAATCAGAAACCAAGAAATTCAGAAATACCTTCAACCCTTCAAGAAACAGCAATCAAACAACATCAATTCTTCAAGATATCGAGACAGAATCACAACGGAAGAATTGGCCCGGAGGATCGTACTCGGGAAAGGATACCATGATAGAGTTTACAGAATCTTGAGCAAGAAATGAAAATAAACAGAGAAAGATGGAATTGCAGAGAATAAGAACAGGCCAATCCTTTCTAATAGATTATGATGAGGTGGCAGTCAACTATAGTCTACAATATATATATATATATTTTAGACGTGTTATCCTGAATTTTTCAACTTAAAAAAAAAAAAATTATGACAAAGTTAGATTTCATCTCTTATGAACTATTGGATTAGGTTTTTCTTGTCTCAATCTCATATGTTGGTTTGTTTCTCTAAAATTAGACAATATAAGATTTCATTTTGTTGATGCGCACAAAATCAGTGAAGACTTTGGAACAACGTAAAGTGTCAAGTTTGTGATATTCGCTCAGTTGCTCTGGTCACTAGTGAGGATAAATATGTAAAGAGATAGAGATAGGGAAGCAACCACAAGATGTACGTGGTTCACCCTAAGTCTGGCTACGTCCACGGAGTAGAGAAGTTCTCATTAATATTGAAGGGTTTGCACAAATACATAAGTTTAAGTATAATTATCATCAGTGGGTTCTAATGACTGGTTTAAGTAAAATAATGACACTAGGGATTCATTGTAGGAGAATGGTATTCTTTTATAGTTGAGGAGAGTCTCCAGCTCTTGTCCACAGTCGATGTAGGACTATATGAGCTTTATTCTGATGTTGACATTTGTCGTGCTATGATTGGCCACTTGGTTGGAGGGAAACTCTTGTGCTTCAGTAGGGGTGCCTTAGCATGTACCCCTCAGTGGATCCTTGAAGGTATGAAGTTGACCAGTGTTTGGTAGTTTCGGGATTGGTCAAGTATGGTACAAACACATTTCATTTCATAACAACCATTAATTGGATTATCTTATCTCAATCTCATCCATTAGTTTATTTCTCTAAAATAATTTGATTGCAGACTTGTAGAACGAACATGCACAGAGTAGCTAAGCCTTGTGTTTGTAGCATTTAGATAATTAAATTGTAATAACTTTACTATTTAGGTATGTTTGCTTGTTCATTGCTTTTAAATAACTAAATTGTAATGCCCTTACAATTTAGGTATATTGTTTATTTCTGTTTGGTTTAGGTCTCCAACTACCAATGTCATTCCAATATGTAGTGTGTTTTTTTTTTCGAAATTAATAAAAGTAAGCCCTTTTATTAGAACATATTATATCATTTTATGTGTAAGCATTAAACATAAAAACAAAATGTAGGAGGACTTTGGAACAAAAACGCATAAAAAAAAGAATTAAAAATAAAATGAGAGTATATGTGTATTCGCAAGTGGGGAAAAAGTGAAAGAATTTGGCTCACATAGGCTGTACTTTTCTTGTAGGACTCATTGCTTTTTAGGGTTGGATGTAGCCTAATTTTTTGATATCCAAGAAAGGAAGCCGTCAGCCTAAGTGGTGGATTTAGCCCTATTTTTTGGCCCATTTAGGATGAAGTTCATCACTAAAACCATCTCCAAAGAATGTCAATTTATAAGAGTCAAATTACAATTGATGGCTGATGCAGTAATCTAAAGTCTTATGTTAAATTTTATACTTTTCCAACCGAATTGTCAAATGTTATTTTATTATTTAAATAGAGCTTTAAATGGTTGTAGTTATTAAAAAAATGTTGAAACACAATTTTTATTGGTTGAAATGTTAGTGGAATAAAAGACCCACCATTAAAATGAATTAAAAATAAATTTGACATTGATGTCAAATTTTACTCCAAATCACAAAGCCTTCAAATTCAGTCAGCAAATAATACTTCTATTGGAGAGACATTTGATGTCAAATATGCACAGTGACATTCCATAGTATTTTAACATCTCATTTGGAAATTCTCTAAGGCTTCAAATGTAGTAGCCTTATGGAGGATAAAGCCAGGAACGCTCTTAGGCAAAGGTTAGCGACTGGAGGCTGGAAATATTTTTGGTTTTCTATTGCTCTTAGGTTTTTATACTTATAGAATTTTTTGAAAGTGTGAATCTCACATACAAAAATTAAAGAACCTCGCATACACTTATAATTAAGGAGTTGAGCCACTTGACTTTTGTCAATTGGTTTTAGGGTGAACAACAAAAGAAAGTTAATGTTCTCCTATAAAATCTGGCCCAACTCCTTACAAGCTCTTGCATCATTGATATAAGTTTTTGTCCTTCACATTCTCACGTGCCCACTCACTTATGGCGATTTTTAAGCTAAACATGCGTGCAACACAAACTAGGTGATATGTAGCACGTGTGACCGTTGGACTTCATACGTGAGCTAACCTGCGCTTTGATATACCATGGAAATTTCAATATAAAATCAATTAGCAATATGGGGAGTAGCCAACTCCTTATAAGTCCTTACAAGGTTTGGTCTATTGATTACTGATGTGAGACTTTTTGTTCTTCAAACTCACTCATCAACTTTTTTCATGATATTAGAACATATTATCCACATATCAAGCCCAACAACCAACGTGCTCGCACTTCATTTTTGTGTTGTACACGCAATAAACTTAAACAACATCACACGAACGTAAGGATATCGGATTGAGAACATTAGCAAATAAAAGAACGTTGTATATACTTGAGCCACACCTCCTGAACCGTTACTGATTTATTTTCGCATGGAAAGCTCAACTTCATTGAGAATCTATTTCATGTTTTTTATAAGGATAGTTTAGTTACGGTGCCTGGTCCATAACTGTTATAGACTCAAATCTTATGTATTTTAGATTTTTGATTGAAGTCTCTCTCTTGCTACATAAATGACATAATAATAAAAAGAGATGCAATAATACCAATAAAGACTCAACCCTTTTTTTTTTTTTTTGCTTTCATTTACACTACCAATTTAATTGTTCAAAATTGCTTATGGGTTTTGATAAAAAAAATAATAATAATTGCTTATGGGTGCATTCTAGATTATAAAAAAAATGGGAATTTTTTTATTTTTTTATTTTTATAAAATGAGTACATTTATATAATAAAATTTGGCTACATTTACATAAAAAGGTGGGTACATTTTATATTGAAAAAACAATAGTACATTTTAGATTAAAAAATAAATAGATTTTACCTTAAAAAATGGGTACATTTTACATAAAAAAAATGGTATTAAAAAAAAAAGGGATACATTTTATATATAACAAAGTGGTACATTTGTAAAAAAAAAAATGGGTACATTATAAATAAATTATGGGTACAAATAAAAGGTTAAAAAATTATGAGTACAAATAAAAGTTTAAAAAATAAGGGGCAAAAAGAAATTACAAATTAAAATTTAAAAGAAAATTGGTGCAATTTAAAAAAAGTTGCAAAAATGGGTACAAACTAGAAATAGAAATATATGATAAAAAGTTTAGCCATAAATATAATATATCAACTGTAACATTTCTAACACTAAATGAATATATTTAAAAATAAAACTTAATTATCTTGACATGTAAATATTTTTTTTTTGAATAATTAATGGCGTTTATTAAAACCGAAGGACCTTGATCCAAATTTGAAAAAGAATAAGATTTTAATCAATGAAGTAGAAAAAATAAGAATGAGGCCTAATTTCTCCTTTTATAAATAAACAGTGCATGACAGCATTTTTTTTCTCTATAACTACTTATTAGTTCAACTACTCTGGAACATCAAATGATATATAATTATATATTCGTTTTTTTTTTCAGCCGACAGGATATATTCCATCTGTGTTATTACGTAATTTTCCTACATTTTCCTCGGAAAATTTGTTGTATTTTATGTCAAATTCAAGAAGTACATAACGAGTTTAAAATTTGTGCACTTGTTTTATGTGTGGTATTTCTGTAATTTTTATTGGTAATTGACACGTGTTAATAAATTTAACTCTTTTTAACTTTGTTATTATAAATTTAATATATATCAATTAATGATAAAGACAACAGAAAGGCTAAACGTAAAATAAATGCAGAAGATTTGTTCTCGTAGGTAACAATTACGGTTTATAGCTCATGCCCCTAGATAAATTTCTAAAAAAAGACGAGTAAACGAATGAAATGAGAACCAATTATGAACAATATACTTATTATGTATTCAAATAAAGAAAAATGAAATGATCACACCTATGCACGTAGAAACATTATAATATGCACTATTAAAAATGAAAAAACTTATATAGATGAGCTAATTAATTAGTTCGTTGCCTTCTTTTGAAAACAGAAAAATTTATATAAATATATCATATAGTAGATACGGATGGATATTAAACATTGACACATATATACTACACAACCTTATCACTTCGGTTGATATTTTTGCAATATTGCAAATAGTATAATAGATCTGATATCTGTTTGTCATATGAATTGGGAGGGGGTGGTCCAAAAATATAGTATCTCATTTATTATTCTTAGGGGTGGAAAAAAAAAAACTGAAAATTCCAAAACCGAATCGAAAATCTCTTAACCGTTTCCAAAAAGTTCGATACAGGACTCGAGATCCCACAGCCATATGCCTTCTTCTATAATCCCAAACCAAAGCATATTTTATTATATTTAATTTTAAATTAGGTCTAAGACTTATGTGGCGAGTTGGATTTGTTTGAGATTTAATCTCAACCGTTCATTCATTACCCTATCTCTCTCGACCTCATTCCCACAATCTCACTATCTCTCTCTCTCTCTCTCTCTCCCTCGATCGACTCATCTTCTTTGTCCACCTAAAATCGAGGTTTGCTTCACAACACACTCCAATGGCTTCCTTCAATGTTCCCTTTCCAAAGGCGTGCTTAGCCCCCGTTACCCGCCTTGGCTCCTCCGCCCAACCGCAGCAGGACCTACTCTCCTTCCACAATTGCCTCAGTCGCTGCCCCATTCCATCTCTGTAGATTTCTGGTCTTCAGGTTTGATTAATTCCGTATACTCTTTACTTTTTTTAAAATTTTGTTTGTATAAATTTCATTGCTTTTTGTGTTTTCATGCTTTAATTTTGTATTTTGCTCAAATGGGTATTGTTTGTATATCTTTATTTTTTAAGCATCTTTAGTTTTTCCAAAGCGTAACGAAATACTAATATTTTAATATTTTTTGAAGAATATCGAAATTCCGATTAAAATTTTTGGAATCCCGTCCCAAAAGGAATTCGTTCGCAATTTGGGTTATGTTTTTCAGTTCGGGATCCTGACCCGAACTACCCCTAATTGCACTTTGTTGTTGTTTCAAACTTTATTACACGCTGTGCTGTTTGTATTTTTCTCATTTTGTTCAGTAGGCAAGCGAACGGTATTTATTTACTCTTGTATTTTAATGTCTGGCACAATTCGTGTCTTTATTCATGGGACACACATGTTTCTGGTAGCTGGGGTCTATGACACCTCCCTCGGTGGAGCGGAGCGCCCTGTCTCCATCGTCCCTTGAATGCATACATGTGTCCATCATATATACATGGTTGCATGAACATACATCACCGTGCATGCATGAGTATTTTACCCATGTATTCATGAACATTTTACATTACCATGCATGCTGCCATGCATAACAGCATAAGCATACGTGCATTAAAAATGGGGTATAAAAATATCAACAGTCACCATCATTGCTAGCAACCTCCCATATCTTTAATCGTACTTCCAATGACTATTGAACAAGTCAAAACCATTTACTCACTTTATTCCCGTGCCTTATATTGGAATTATCTTTGTCACAGATACATGTTGGCAATGATAAAACCCTACCATTCAACTCATTATTAATGTAAAATATTGATATAGTACTAATTATTAGAACACAATTTGCAGACTCACGGTGCGAACTTGAACAACCTGCGAACAAGGAAGAGCTTTTGAGGAGCACCATTGTACTGTCGGTCAAAGATTCCCCGACACTCAAGTTAGTGTCGATTGGTATTGTTGAATGAACTCAGGGAAAGAGTTATAAAGTTTGTATCTCAGCTCTAGGGTTTAGAATGACCGATGCTTATATCCTTTTTGAGGTTTATCTTGAGAATCCATGAGTGGATATTACTCTCAAGCCGTGTTGGCTCTTATCTTTGCTTAGTCTTCAATTTTGGATGAGGTGTAGTTCTCGAATAAGATATGAGGATCACGTTCATACTATTCAGACCTGGATTCTCTTAGTTAGGCTCAAGCTAGGGCTTGGAACCTTCTTTATAGCTTATTGGCAGAGTCATGCTTATTTAAGATGATTAGGGAATGTCTATGGTGTTGTAGACATATTGAGACCCGGACTTGCATGTTCTGCTAGATCTGAAGATGATGTTGATATCGTCTCCAAGCTCTGAGATGACACGTGAGAGGTCCATGCCATTGCATGGTCCGACAGCCTCCAACCATGGGAATGTGCCAATAAATCCTAAACTCTTGAAATTCTCATTCATCTTCTAAATTTAACTTGCACATATTTCTACATCATGTAGCTCTTGGCTCGTGTGACAATATCTAACATGCTTATTCCTTTTCTTGGTTGTACGTAGAATTCCCAATAGCAACAAGATTCTCAAGATGTGCCAATTAAATTATGCTACAAAGGAGGTAAATGGGGGTAGTTGATCTACTCACCAAATATATATATATATATACACTGGTGCATAAATATAACTTGAGGCCCTTTAGATATCGGTGTATTTCCACCACTGTATGAATGCGTGACATTCAAGTGATGTGAAAAAAAAAAAAAAAACAAAAAGAAGAAGAAGAAGAAGAGGTATAATGAAGAAAAAAAAAGTTGTGAATATCACTGAACATGCATTCATTATTTGGTACGTCAAAGAAAATAGAGTTCCCTATATATAAAGATATGTTAACATGTGGAGTGCTGCATGACCAATCTAACTCGGTCTTCTATAAAAAAAAAAAAAGCTAAAGTTATATAGAACTTTGATCTAACTAGCACCTAACATATTTTAAAACCTTCATCTAACTAGTAGAAGATGAAACTAGCTAACTATATAAGACAGATTGCTTAAGGGAAGGGATCCCCATTTTTTGGGATTAGGTGTGAGGCCCACTCCACATTGAATTTCAACGATCCAAACCGTCTATTTTGTTAGTCTCGATTCACAGACCATCCTTGCAAAAATTCAATTCAATCCGAAACTGTTTGCCTATTTAATTATCAAGATCAAATTTCATTTTTTCTTATATAACAAAGTATTCGTTTATTTCTTTGAACCCAATTAGATGTCTTAAACATTTATAATTTAGCTAATATTTTGCAAGGATGATCTATGAATCGAGACTAACAAAATAGACGGTTCGGATCGTTGAAATTCGATATGGAGTGGGCCCTACACATAATCCCCTTTTTTTCAAAAAATGGAGATCCCTTCCCTTAAGCAATCTGCTATATAAGAAGCTGAAAGTTGTAATTAGTAATTTTTTTTCTTGGTATAAATAGCTAGAAGTTACAAATTTTTGAAGTCTAGGGGACCAGTATACTGTCGATGTGGCTAGACTTAAATAAACTTGTATGCAAATGTGGTCCATACATATTGTTAAGGAAGAGGGTGATGTAAATTGAGTAGTGCCTGGCCTTCACCTCAAGGTCTAAAGGTCCACACAGCTAACAGAAGTTAATTCACTTCCAAGGGGGCTTGTCTCATAACTGCTATAAATTTTTTTTTACCTAAGTGATGTTAAAGGAGAGAAAATATGAACTTAAAATATCAGGTGGGAAGTTTTTTTATTTTTTATTTTTTTTTATTTTTTTATTTTTAAATATCAGGTGGGAAGTAAATATTGTTAACTTAGGGCGTGTTTGTTTGAGCTCCTTAGGTTTCACTAGACTAGACTGGCTTACTAGTCTGTGTTTGGTTTGATTTGGGACTGTCTTTAATGGGATTAAGTCGGATTCGTTCCGACTAAAGGCTTCGCTACCTTGTCTTGGCTAGTACCCCCGAAAAGGATGGGATTGCTAATCCCGGCTCTCTAATATCTGCATCGTTTGCGATCTGCAACCATGCGTCGCCAAATCCAGTCACAAATCTTGCAGTCTCGTCGATTTCCATCATCCCCGCAAACCCATCACCAAATCTTGCCGTCTCGTCGATCTCCTTCGTCCCGCGAACCCAACATTCTATTTGCTTCAAATTGATTTCTCCCCTCTTATGAAACCCAACGAACCCACAACCCAGATTTCCCCTCTTTGCTTCGAGAAGGAATACCTAGCTGGATTTGCTTTGGATTTAATCCAACGCCAAGAACTGAAATTGTAATCTCAAAGAACTGAAATTTAAATATCAAAACAAATTCAGAGTTTCATAGTTTAAAGAAGAGAAGAACAGAGCAAAGTAATTTGAGTGAAAATGGCGAAAAAGAGAGAGTGGGGAGGGGTGACAATGGGACGAAGAAAAAAGAGAGTAAAAAAGGGAAAGGACAGGAACACCATGGACGGAGAAAAAGAGAGGTTAAGAAAGAGGAAGAAGATTATAAAAGAATAAATAAATATATTAATATTAAAATATTAATAGATATTGGTTAAATAATATAATATTAAAGTGTGTTAATTATCTTACTTTTTAGTCCGACACTGCACCAAACGCTTCACTAAGTCAGTCCAGCTTAGTCTAGTCTAAGCCAGTCTACCTTAGTCCCTGAAGCTAATCCAGTCCGAGATAGTCCGGTGCAACAAACGCATCCTTAGAGTCAAATTATTAGAGTCAAATTATTATATACTGAGTTAATCAAAATAAATTGGTATCAAATTCGTCATTTACAAAAATCGTACTTAAAACACCTATAGTGCCAAAAATAAGTGTTCTTAACTATTTGAAATATTATGAGGTTCAAAATTGTACTTAGGTAATCGTGGTCCATATGTCACTTACATATATGTACTTATTAACTTATGGACAGGGGTGTCCCAAAGGTATTGACAAGAAAATTGAAATTAATTGTTTATGTTGGCCCCTTTGCAGAAAGGAAAATTAGAATGAACAAATTAACTTAGCGCTTAATTAGTGACCAACTAAGTACAGTCGTATGTTCACGCGATGCCTTTCGACGTGTGTTGTGTTGAGTTTTGCTTTTGCTTGCGTATGTAGCAGAATCCTTGTTGCATATCGCTCCAAGAATAATCGAATATGGGTGGTGGTGGTGGTGGTGTGCACTACTTTTTTAATAGCAATGGTTAACATTTTCCTTATTCTTTTAGACTCTTATCATACCTTCCAAAGAGTTACAATGAAAAGGATTTGTAAGACTCATTGTTAATTAAAATGATATCGTCTTATTTCTATTTTTCATATGAGCAGGAAATTGAAATCAGAATCTTGAGAGAAAAAATTAATATTCTTAATCAACTAAGCAACTAGTGCCGTGCAAATTTTTTATTGAAGTCTCACCATATTCAACATATTCAATAAAAAACATAACATATAACACTATATGCCACTTTGGTATTTAGGATTAGGCTGGATTGAAGAATGTCTATTTTTAAATTTTATTTAAGTTAAAGGTAGAAGATGAATTAGTCATGAACAAAATTTAACCTAATCTATTATAACCAATCCATTTAATCCCTTCTACTTGAAAAACTAATTAAAAAACTATTTCTTCAAAATTTAGGGCTTGAACATAATTAGTGATTACAGACATATATGTTACAAACTTAGTGTTGTCGACAAACAATGAAATGTTCACAATAATGACTAAAGGGGTAAACAATAATGACCCAAAAAATGAACGCTCCGGATCATAGAATTACTTTGTGAAGTATACCCAAACAAATAATTAGTGTCGTATTAATTTATTAATCAGTTGAGCACTTATATATAGTAACAAGTGGTGTAACGAATTCACGAATGTTAAGAATTTAACACACAACGCCATATTTTTTTGTTAGGAAACATAATGATAAAGTTAAGGTTCAAATTTAGTGTTTAGTTATTAATGGTAAATGCACGCATAATTTAAATACGGTGCACTATATCAGCATGTCGATCACATACTATCATAAATAATTTATTTCACTTAACAATATCATACTAATTTTCCACATAATACCAAAATGTTCTTTATTCTTTATTTTTTATTTTTTATTTTTTATTCTTATAAGTAATATATAAAACTCTTTAGAGAGAGGCCCTTACAACTCCTATTTACTAGACAAAACACATCTAGTTTAAAGCATCCAAATAAATTTCTAATTTCACATAAACATAAGCAAATAAGTTACCTATCATTATTATATAGGCCAAACTGCCGATCTGCCCCCTCTAAACTTTTACTTAGTTTTCGATTTCCCCCCCTAAAAATTTTCAATTGGAAAATGAAGGACTTAACTAATTTTTGTGGCCAATTTCTCCCTTAATATTAGTTTTCCATAGATTTCATCACAATTAACGTTAACTCTTATCACGTACACACCACGTGACTCTCCTTTAAAGACAAAAGTGTCACTTCGCCAGACCTTCAGACACAAAAGTTATAGAATCACACAAATTTGCATAGGTTGACATTTTAGAAATCTAGGGTTTTCAATTATTTTAAAGAACAAAGCGACCAAACTACCTTCACATGTTGTGCACATGCTCCCATTTAACAAAAATTTGGATGGAATGAATGAAAAACTACTAGCAGGGGGAAATTGGCCAAAAAAATTAGTTTAAGTCCTTAATTTTCCAATTGAAAAGTTTAGCGGGGAAATCGAAAGTTAAGTGAAAATTCAGGGAGAAAATTGGCAGTTTACTCTTACTATATATTTACAACTTATATCACAACTCTCTTATAATGTCAACAAATTTATTGCTCACCCTAATTATGTTGAGCAATGAGTCCACCTAGTGTTCCACATGTATATGTTAATACCAAAATGTATGTAACAAAATGTCAATACCAAAATGTACAAACCAAAATGTATGTACTAGAATGTATTATAATACCGAAATGTGTGTACCAAAATATACGTATTGAAATGCATTATATTTGAATTAATTACCTATATATTTGTATCGATGAATATACCAAATGAATTAATGTACCTAAATGAAGAACATACAAATTGTATCCAAATTTATTATAAAAAAAAATTAGTTTACCTAAATGTAGACATCAAATATATTATCATGAATGAAATGGAAATTAAATTTAAATGAAATTAATACATTAAAAATAGGAAGAAAAAGAGAAACAAAATATCAAAATATAATTAATAAATGAGATGATTAAATACATTAGGGACAAAAATCGGATTTTAACTTACACAAGGTTATAGTCTAAAACTCAGTTTTTTGAAGAATGAAAATGAACCTTTATATTGCCACTTAATACTACGATCTAGTGGTATTCCTCTTCACTTGTAAGTTAGAAGTCTTATGTTTGATTCTCGCTAAAGGCGAATTTGAACTACATTATTATTAGCCCATTATGAGATTAATGTCATCTCCTTCCTTTGGTATAGATAATATAATTTGTTAAAAAAAAACTTTTCTATTTAAATAATAGGATTTTTTTTATTTTTTATTTTTTATGAGTAGAACGATATAGTTTACACTAAGAGGAGGGAGAGTTCGACTAAGCTGCATAATGAACAACCTATTTTGGTATTGAATTCGTCATTTACTAGATTGGAGAAATTTTTTATTGTGGCAGAAATATGAATGATACATCAAGTATTTTTATAGAAATGGTAAAAAATTTATTTTTTAAATTATTAACATTTTAACAATATATTCTATTATTTAAATAATAATACGTGATATACTACTTTTATACCGATTACATTGAAAAATCTCTCGTGGTTAAATTGGGTCACTTTAGCGTTTTGGGTAGGGGTCTGTCATGTCTCTGTCAGTCATAAATAAGGGGGAAGCAAAGCAAAGTGCTCCTGCTGCTCGAGAAAGAGAGAGAGAGAGAGAAGAAGACAGAGAAATACCACCACCTCTTCGGCCCATGAGTAGTACACTACTGCTCTTCAGTTTTCAGTCTTCAGTCTGCCCGCTGCTGTCCTCCCTTTTCCTTCAGTCCCTCCCTCTCTCGAGCGGGAAAAATAAAAAATAATAATCCATTACACGCACAAACCGAAAGAAAAGAGAAAGCAGGAGAGTATACAATATATCCATCTTTCTCTCCTCTCTCTCTTCCTTTCTCTGTCTATCTATCTCTATCCTCTAAAGCTATTGATTCTCTATAGCTTCTACCTACAACCCTTATCCTCATTTCTCCTTCTTGTTCTCCTCAAAACGACCATGGCAGTTGCGTTTGGTGGCTTCTCCATCCGGTAAGCTTGCTTGCTACCTCAAATTTAGCAACTTTTCTTTGCTTTGTTTTTTGCCGCTCTTAAAAATTTGTTCTTCTGTTTTTGTAGAGAATATGCGGCGAAGATGCGAACCGTGGACGTGCTGAAATGTTATCCCTTCGCGGTTGCGGACAACCACGACGACGAAGATACGAAGAAGAAGAAGGAAGCAGAAGCGGCGGCGTTGCTTCCTCCGATGACCGTGACCAAGTTCAACTGGTGGTCCCACGAGCTCCACCGCTCGAAAAGATCCAACAAAAACAAAGAGGTACTAACTCTTGTCAACAAAGAAAGCTCAGATATCCCCAGAAACGACATCGAATTCACTGCTGTCGAACAACGACTTGACGAGGTTGTTGCTGCTGATGGTGATGGTGCGGCTGAGAGCGAGGAGACCCTGAAATCGTCTGACGACGACTTATCGTCGTTGGTTTGTCCAGTTTGTAAAGATTTTGAGGCGTCTACCGTGAACGGTGTGAACGCCCATATCGATGGCTGTCTTGCGTCGAGGGAGGAGCGGAGGAGGCAGATGGGGAAGATAAAATCGAAAGCTCCCAAGAAGAGATCTATTGCGGAAATATTCGCGGTGGCGCCGCAGATTCAAACGCATGAAAAAGATCTTTGTGAAAGAGATGACGTTGATGGAGATAATAATTGTAAGGTGTTGGGTGAGAGTGGCAGTGTTTTAAAGGCAACAAAGAAAGTAAAGAAAAGGAAGAAGGAAAAAAGGGTTATGTTATTGGAGGAGGAGAACAACAACAAGAAGTTCAAGAAGAAGAAGATTAAGATGATGAAGAATGATGGGTTAATTGCAAACAAGGTATGTGATCAACTTTCATACCATAAAATATTGATTAAACAGTTGGGTGTGTGTTTTTTTATGATTATATAATAAGATTGTTGTTGAAGTTGATTACTGTAGTGTTAGTTTGATTACTTTGTGCATAAAATTATACTGGTAAAAAAGCTGGGAGAAAACGTTGTAATTAGTTTGAGGGGAGCGAGTGCGTTTGTTGTCATTGTACCTTGTGTTTTATGTGTTCTTATTTACGGGGTTATGGATTGTCCAAAAAAATTTATCGGGTTATGGAGGGGAGAGGTTGGTGATCCAGCTGTACGGTACGGATTCGGCAGAAAAAGGGATTTTATAGGGTGGACGATTTTCTTTGTCCTTGGTTTAGCAAGTGTATAATCCTAGCTACACTAATGATGTTGTTCCCCCCCCCACACACAGACACACACTGTTTGAGTACTAATCTCTTTGGGAAGAAAATATGCTCCAATTTCGATCAGATTAGATTTAGATTTAGAAGTGGGCGTCTGTATAATTATATTGCTTATTAAAAGTGTGGTAATAATTTTTGAAAGCTCTACTAGCTATATATCCATTTACGAAGTTTTACAAAGATGGTTGCTGATGAAATTAATAACTTTATACGTATGGTGAACGGGTTTCTGATCATCGGGAAATCATGTGATACGGATGGGCATGCAGTAGTACTGTTTTTTAATTTGTGTGATCTTGGTTGTTGCAAGAGATTGGCAGTGCATTATTTGTGTTTGTCCTTGATTAAATTTGGATCTTCTGATTGGCTTTGGGGATTGATTAGATATCCTTGACCTTGGAATATCTAGAATACTGGATCTTGTCTGCTTCTTGGTCTGATATGGTTTGGAAGACTATGAACGCCCAAGACTTGCTAGATATATATCAGTACTGGGAAGTTAAAGACTATTCGGGTCCACATGAACAACTTCTGAAACAAGAGATTTCAGTATATGTATCACTGTATATATGTATGGTGTTTGAATGGTTACAGCAGCTATGGATGACTGTTTTGGGATGTTATTCCAGCTATTCAGTCGGGGTTTGGTCAAGCAATTATATGCTAGATCCATATGCTGGTTTGTAATTGGATCGCATGCATTGAGGATATAATCGATAAAACATTTAAGAGATAATCGATCATACATTGAATCAGCGATCAAATGAGCGGTGGTATTTGATTCGATTTATCTGAATGTCGTAGATTTGTGGAATTATGAATGCTAGACTTTTATGCCTTCAGGATGGCATTTTATGTCTAGTGGTAGTGGGATCTTTTAGAAATCGTTTGGAAGGATAATTCCATTAAGTGAACGAAGAGCTTGGAGATAATGCATGCCTGGTGATTTTCATTCTTCTGTCATCATATCATCACAAGAATGTGAGTCAAAAGGTGAGACATCTTTATCGTATGGATGATATCTGGTCAAGTGGAGTTTATTCTGCACATGTTAGCTTTTTGGCTGGATATTGTGTCTTGAAATCTTGGATTCAGTTAAGAAAGAGAGATTGAATGGGTGTTTTGTCCTTGTATATCATGCCTTTAACTTCTTGGTCTGAACAATCTTTGTGGCATGGCTGATAGTTCGAAATGATGATAGAGATATTAAAGAATGATATTTCAGTACTACGGAAGGTTGGTCTAATTGTTCAAAGATAAAGACGATGGATTCCTTTCTGCAGAATAATAACTATCTAAGAATTCTAAAATTGAAGCAACAATGGTCACTTTGATCTTGCGGTCTAAAACAATCACACATGAAGTCTTACCTAGCTGTGCGATGTCATTGGTTCCTACAATCATTAACTTACCCTAAATCCTTTAGTTAAACAGACTCTTTCAAGAGAAGCATGGAGAATCTGAACCGATCTTTCATGAATCAGCTATGTCCATTAAAAGGTTTAATGTGAATGTTTCGATTGAGCGACAAATTGTTTGGACAAGAGCAATCTCTGGGAAGCTGTATTAGTTGCAATATGATCTGATAAGCTATAATAGATGTTTCTTGAATCAGCTAAATTGTTTGGACAAGATAGAGAGGTATATATGTGATCAGACAAGTTACAAGCCTTTGTTACGAAGTAGGATAAATTTCATCTTACTTGCAATGCAGCTAAATCCCAGGAGTATTGCTTTATCTGGATATATGGTAGAATGACTTCAAGTTGTAATCGGGTGACGGATCTACTTGATGGAAACTACAATCTGCAGTTGAATATTAAAGTTTTGATCTGAGAGAATAAGTATTAACTGTTGCTAAGCACAAACTTCGGCTGGGGTGTTTTATTTATCTTCGTCTTGTTTTGGTATTGGCATGTATGCAAAAAGGATGCAAAAAGTGTTTTTCGCATTACGCTAGTATATTTCTGCTGGAATTTCTTTTTTGACAGAAGGACATACTAGTGGTCTATTCGTCATAGATAGTACAATGGATCGTCGGATAATCAATAGCTTTAAGTGAGCTTATGATATGGCAGTCCAGAATACTTGATTTAGAAATTCCCTTTGCACTTAAGAGTGCTTTTAATCCAATTAATACATACTGATATTGTAGCTAAATAAAATATTTTCTAATGCTTACTTATTAACTATGATCAATACAAAGTTTTACTGAACCAACGATATAGATTTATGTAAATTTTCTTGTTTTGTTTTAAGAATTTGAATGTGACGGTGTAATGACTTTCTTGTATGAATTAGGACCATTCTTGCAAACTTAAATTGCAAAGTTCAGCCAATTATGCCAAAAAGCTGAATAAGAAGTTTGCACCGGATATTTGGGATTCTGTAACTGCTTGTGCAAGGACACCAAATGTCAAATGTTTAACTGCAAAGAAGCGAAAAGTTGTTCAAACATCCAAATCATTTCCAAAGCGTAAAAAACCAGTGTTTGCCGTTCACAGCATTCTCAAGAATCATGATGTTTGTGGGCAGAACTCCACTTATTGCAGCATGCAAAGTGATAGTCAATCAAATCCTTGTGGTATTCAACATTCAGAAAGGCATGTTAAATTTTCTGGGATGGATCACAAACTTAGTCCGAGGAATAATCGAGTGTCTTCCTTTGAGAATAATTCCGATTCCTTTGCTAGTTCATCTGAGAAGGACCAGTCTTCTGACAGTAATAAAGAAGCAGCCCCCATGGAGGTACACAGAAGAAAAAATGATGTTTCAATTGATACAGATATTGGAACTGAGTCTTGCAGTGTAATCGGAAGGAAGGAATTGCCTATAATTCCTGATCATGTTGATATTCCAAGTTTTCTGAGGCCACATATGACTCATCAAGAAAAAGTAAATCAAATGCCAGATAAATCTGTGCCTTCAAGTAGTTTTGCGGCTGAAGATAATAATTTGAGGATGTTCGACCAAGGCTACCTACCCCCCACACATAGACCTGCAGATTCTCGCTTTCCAAGACCGATATTTGCTCTAGAAGAATCCCGTGTAAGTACTCAAGGAGCTACTGTTTCCAGAGATTTTGAGCCCAGTGGAAAGATGATTGATCATGTCGTACATCCTATGCACGGAGTTTCTGCAATGAGTTCAAAGGAAAATACAGGAGCATTTCCTGTCCCTTCTTCATCTAGTTTCATTTTCAATGAGAAAGCAAAGGGGAGGTTTCCATTCCTGTCACAATCTGAAATTGATAAATTCAGCGATTGTGGTCTGCACTCCCAATTATTATGTCCACCCATGGACTTGATGGGTGGCTCATATCCCTTTCCGGAGTGGAAACAAAGAACAGTTACATATAGGGAAGGGTGTGCAGATGAGGACTTTGTTGGCTTGCCTCTCAATTCACATGGTGAGCTAATCCAGTTGAGGAAGTTGAATGCTACACCAGGGTCCTCCAATGGCTTGCCTACACAGAATTTTACCCACTTGACAAGTATCAGCAGCTTACCGACGCAGAATTTTACCCATGTAACAAATACAGGAGATTGTTCGACTGCATGCAACAAACATGTTTTGGAAAGAGAACTTCCAAGTGATCGGTTGAACTTCTTTCCTATGCAGAATTGTGTTAAACAGAATCCTAGGTCACATATTCGAGATTTGTTTGGTGCTACTTACTTGCAAAGTACTCAAAGAGCAGATATACATCAGTTTGATTTTGAGAGCGGAAGCAGCCACTCTTTTTGCCCAATTGTTTCAGACCGGAACCTGATGAATGTCTCTATCAGTGAATGCGGACAATTTGACCAGGTGAAGAACCAAAAGATAGGTGGAATGATCTCTAAGGAAAATTCAGGCCGCACACCATTGGGTGTGAATCAACCAACAATGCGGTTAATGGGAAAAGATGTGGCAATTGGTAAAAGTAGCAGAGAGATTCAAGGATTTGAGGATGGAACATTGTGGACAGATAAGGAAATTATAGCAGAGCATTGTCCTTCAAGTACCGCCTTGGATACTCTGTCGTTGAACAGGAATTTCCAGCATAACTGGTTTCCATGCACAGCATCGGGGAAGTTGAAAGAACCTGCCGCACAGTCGTTTGAAATTCACAGAGAACATGCCCCACAGCAAAATTTAATGATGAAAGCTTCAGAGTCCAGATTTCCCCACGCTTACCGCAACTGGCAAAGCCATTCCACGTTTGAAAATGGCAGCCTTACCGCCAACAGAAGTCCAAGTTCTAATTTGATCCGTTTTGCTCAGATGCCCACTTCACCTGCAATGTTTAATGGGGCACCTAAATTCCGAGAGCAATTCTTGTCTGGAGCTGAATCTCTACAATCCCTACAGTTTGGCTCTCAACTACCGATATTATCTGCTCCTCCTAGTACCTGTGGGCATGGGGTTTTAAGACCTGCTGAACTCAATTACAAGCAGAATCCACCTCATTTTGCAAAATCATCATTCGGCTTCCCTTTCCTGAATCCTGAATGTAGAGACAATAATGTGGAGTCATCATGGTTTCAGAGCTCCTCTATGGGCATGCCCCCTTGGTTTTTACATGCAACACTGCAGGTAAACCCCCCAAATGCAGCTTCTCAATCTTTTCTAAATGTGGATAGCAGACACCATCAGCATATTATGCCGAGAGCTAACTTTTTTAACGAGCATCATTCGTCGGAAATTTCTTATCCTTGCAATTTCATGACCTCTCATTCACAAGTGAGGGAGAATGCACCTACTCAGGCGACTGCAGTTATGCCTCCTCTTGCTCGAGCTGTTCAAGGAGTAAATCTACAACCAACATCTGGCACCGACATGGACAGAAACAGAATCAAGATCAAAGACAGATTAAAAACAAAATCTTTCAGTATCAAAGACCCATATCCCTTCAAGAAAACCAAGAGACTGGCAGTGAAAGCTGTAGATTCAACAAAGGCTGCCAACATGTTGCGCTTAGAAACACAAGAAAAGTTGAGTGCTGCTGCAGGATCGTCAAGAGGGAACATTTTAGATGAAATGCAGTCTAATATGAGAGCACTTGACCTCGACTCAAGTTGGAAGAAAGCAAGCGATTTGGGTTGCAGCCAACACGACGTTCAAAAGGATGGATTCAAAACCTTTGGAGTTGAGTCTTCCAAAATGGATGGCGTTGTGAGAAGTACAGGCCCCATTAAACTTTGTGCAGGAGCAACACACATCATAAAACCCACTCCAAATGTGGATCAGGATAACTCCAGGTCAATCCATTCAACAATCCCCTTTGTTGCAGTAACTAATGGTTTCAGAGAACCACAACCTCAGAAGAAAACAACAAAGATTTACAGGTTTTAGAAGTAAGTCTTCTTAAATGGATATATGTTCCTTTCCGCCACATCATTTTTTTTTTGTGTCAGATGCTTGTAAACATCACATTTTGTGAATGCCACAGGTTCACTGCTTAGGCCAGGATACAAGAACGTTCATGCATGAATGCCAGAAGCAGCATTGTTCATAGGATTTCAGGTTGTTGCGCTTGCAGTAACACTTGCCAAATTAACTGTTGAAAACTTATGTATTTTCACATCTATTTCTAAAGCCATGTTACGATCTCCACATGGGATCTGTAAAATATGACATTTTAGCTTATATGCTTTATCTTACAATTTTATTATTATTTTTTTTTGTTTTTGCTGGCTGAAGTTAAGATTCCTGTTTTCTTTAGTATATGTAATTTTCGAAGTGCGAAAATTCTAGTCCCTCCATAAGCAGGAAATTTTTTGGCCTTTTTTAAAAATAATTTTTTTCCAAGATTTTGGTATACTGCAATAGAAATTTCACTTTTGCTCTATTTCTTCAAAGTACATTTATCGACATGCATTTTCTCCAATACTCGAGAGAAATAAAGCATATATAAGCTTCCAATTACATTGATATTGAAAGAAAGTTACAAAGACTAGAATGCACATCTCTTCTATATGTTTGTAGCTACATAATTGCTGCATCGATCAGTACCTCCTAGCTTCTTTTTCAGCCTGCGTATTTGATCACAGATTCATTGGTGAACTTAATCTTTCTTAGAAAGAGATCAATAGATATTAATTCTTTGATGATGATCGTAATTAGTGTTTGTACATACCGCTTTGACGACTCTTTCGAAAGCATCTTCTCCATGTTGACTGATGAAGCGTTCGACGGACTTCCTTGCGTCGAGGCTCATCATTTGCAGGACCTTCTTCTGACCCACTGTATAGTTTGAGCTCGTCATATCCATTCCAAGCTTCACATACTTCCTCACAACGTTCTCATAAATATAGGCTGCCCCATTGAAAATTGGCAACACCAACCAAATGCAAAATAACAGCTTCGTATACGGCCATATTGGAATCCTATACATGCCAATTTCCAAATACATATATAGTTTAATCAATAGTTGCATGGATAGTTATTAGAAAAATGTATATATCAAAATAAAGAGAAATGATTTCCAGATTCTATTTTTCTAACAGTTGGAATGAATAAATACAAGCAGAATCAAGAGACAAAAACAAAGAGATCGATGAGTGAAGAAAGTGAAAATGAGAGTGTGGAAATTATCTCCCTCCCTAAAATAAATGTGCATGCAGTATTTTGTTTACATACCAAGCTAGGACTTTCCAGCAGGATAGTTCGAATAAGGTTATGAAAGAGTATATAACCCAATATGTTAGCCACTGCTGATCGTCGAGTGCTGAAGGGCTCTCGATTGCTCTCATTGATGCATACCTGTTCATGCATGATCACCAAATGGAATTAATAAATATATCAATAAATTAGTCAATCAATTCTAGCTGATTATTGCTTTTTTTGGTCGATTATTAAGAATGTACTTACAATGGATAAAGAAGCAGAAGGCCTGGCCTGCAAGAAGATCAAAAGCAAAATTCTCAAGATTAATCGGTACGTAGAAATGAAATATCAATTAGTAAGTTCCGGTTATGATATAATAAAATACACATATGTATATATGTTCGTTAATGCATGTTATTATTCATATTTCTTGGATATATTTCAAAAAATTACCCATAATATTAACAATATTGGAAGCTTGAAACCTTCAACTATATATTTATTAATTAAGATTGTGAAAACTTGAAGGTCAAACAACTGTATAAAGTTTATAGATTCAAAAAGTCCCCCATCCACCATGGTTGGGTAGCTAATAAAAAATTGCTTTAGATTGGTCTTCAAAAAAAAAATATATATATATTTCAGATCATCTTACTTGTTGTAGAAATCACACGAATATATGTGTTGTCTAAGGCTTTAATGTGACATGAATATAACCAAATACATTTCATGCATACATCTACATTGTACGTTTTTAATACTCTTTTGCTCTACATGAATATAACCAAATACATTTCATGCATACATCGATGAATGGAGGATATGATAGAGCAATTATTAAAAAAATAATAAGAATAAAAACAGATGATGATATTTTAGGTGGGTCTTTTGCTAAATACCCGATTATTGTATCCAAATTTTTAGCAATGGCTCCAAGAACACCCATGCTGAAACACTATAATTTGATCTGGTCCGGCCGCGCACTCGTTTCTTCTTAAAAATTAATCCTGAAATATATGAGCAATAATTTCCTGAGAAAATGAGTCGATGATGGGAAGTACAAGTAAGTCGTGTATTTAAAAGTCTCTGGATTGTTGAGGTTGATTTGATGAAGCCAAGTAAAGAATTTTTGCCCCATCAAAGGGTTTTCTTTTGGTGATCTCAATGGCATTGGCATATATACCTTAGCTAGCTTTTCTTTCTCTTGAAACTTTTCTCCTTTTTCAAAGCTACTTTTACGTGCGTTAGCATCTTATAACATACACATTTCAGTTTTTATTTATTATATATGCATAACATACATATTAATTGGTTATAAAAAAAGGATAATAATTATAAAGATTGGTGTTTATTAATTAGTGATGCACTCATAAATTAAAGGCTTTGAAAGACCAGAAGGCCCCAATAATCACAAGCTTCATGCTGCAAACTCATGAACTTGTATTGATTCCTCTAATGTTCAATACGCTTCATGCTTATTATAAGCATGTTAAGGTTAATAGCTATATGGATTTAATTAGTACAATAAAATGCGTGCTATTAAAAAATAAGACCCGAAACACACACTCAATTGATGAAAAAATTTGCATGTAAATATGTATCTTTTGATTAAAGAACGCGTTTGTTTTTCACGATCAGATTCAGTATCGCATACTCATTAGGTGATTACTAGTTAATGCGAGAAAACAAGTAAACACATTGCATCTGAATCTCTCTGACTCGGTTACATATGATTTATATTTACTTTAGAAAGAAATAAATAATGAAAAAAGGGGATTAAAAAGTTAATAAAAAAGAAAAAAGGAAAAAGCAAAAGAAATTAGAGCAAGCAAACCCTAAAGGTGGAGTGTAGGTAATAAAAAGCGACAAGGCATGTGATGGACAAGCAAGTAAGGCAGGGTACAACAACGACAACATGTTATTATTTTGTGGTCCAAAAACAGTAGCCTACCTTAATAATTCCAAAAGCTTTCATCATTACATGTACTTTGTGCATTAACTTTAACTTGATGTAACTCCAGCATGTTATGTTAAGTAAGACCTAAATTAGATCCAAGGTTATGTTATGTAAGCCCTAAATTAGATCAAATTATATAAGTTGAAGAATGTTAGCTATCTTTTTCATTTGTTTTTTGGGCTTTTTCACTTATTTTTTAAACAGGATATTGTTTGCTTGCTTAGTGCTTACCTTCATTCGTATGGTGGCTATATGTAAAAAATACATATTCATTACACTTAAGGTAAACAGAGATGCTTAGATGATAATTACGTTACGCTTGCTGAGTTGAGTCCACTTACATATAGTTCCGTTAACTAGTGCACTCCTACTTGAAAGCTACAAAGGGAGATTACGGGCTGACAAGTATTTAAAAGAGAAAAAAAGTTTTTGAAATGAGTTGAAAAGCGAAGCAAATGGAGGAGTTGGCTTGTTTGTTGCATAGAGCACACATTAAACTAGAAAGTTAATATTCTAAACTACAGTTTTTTCCCTTTATACCCTAAAAGTTAATTTACAATTTTTAAAAAATAATAAAATTTTCGAATTTGGAGGCCACCAACTAATGTCTCGGCCTCCTCTCTTCCAACCTTTCTTCTTCCTGACGAAAAATAAAAAAAATACCTTTCCTCTCCGTCTTCCTCCCCGTGTTGCTGCCGTGGCAACAAGATTACCTCCACAGCTGAACCCCACAACCAACGGGGTCCTCTCTCTCCTCACCAACTGCTCCTCCGCTGCTTACATCCTCCAAATCCAAACCCAACTCATGTGGAAATTATATATTATAATATAAAATATTGTAATGTATAATTTTAATAATTGAATGAAAAATAGTGTTAACTGTTGCAATCATATTTAAAATATGAATATAATTGTGTAAATCCTAGGGAATCTGAAAATGTATCTTATATTCCTATTAGGATTAGATTACATATTAAATGTTGTAATCTTAAAAGGAAATGTTTTACCCTTCCTACTACTATAAATAAAGACACAATGGGGGTGAACCAAACACACCTCACAATTAAATCAATCTCTCCTCTCTAATAGTGGCCGGCCCCCCTCTCTCTCTAAACCCTAGATCATTCAATCAAATAGGCCTACAACACGTTATCAGTATGCTCTTACCAGAAGCTGAGGAATTGACGCATTGTTGGAGGAGACTATCATCCACCAAATTCAAAGGCTCATTAGTTTTCTGCTAATCAAGTACGCTTAAAATAAAAGAAGATATTTGAAACGTCCATGAAGCATGAAAACATTCCCCATGATGCATGAACCCCTCTATGTTTATATTTTCCTTTCGATACATATATATATATATTGTATATGTTCATATATTTGTCAATATAGTCAATATATATATATATATATATATATATATATATTTGTTTCATGCATCGCACAATTAAATTGTTATGTGAAATTTGTGAGTCAAAGTATCAAATTAAATTAGAAGCAAATTTGGGTTTCCTAAAACCTAAGGGATTTGACAAAAAAAAAAAAACTGGGGAATGGGAGATGGTGCGGCACACCACCACACGCTTACTGTGGAAACAACAACTAGGCCACGACCTGGAAATCACCTCGCAGGGCCTGAAGCCCCGAGCCCAAAACGTTGCCAACCCAGATTGGCTGGGTCCACTCCTACATGCCGCAACCCTTATGGTTGCTGGGCTCACTGCCTGCCCTGGCCTGGATCCAACCAAGCTCAGTTGGCTAGGATTTTCCCACGGCCCGCTTCCCATGCAGCCAGCCCTCGCGGATGGGCTTCTCGCGCCAAACCCGTAAGCTTATAGGCTTGCTCCCGTGCCCCCCTTTATGCCCATATATGAAACCCAGCTGTGGCTGGGGCTTCTCCTTGCACCATGGCCTACAGTGCACTCAAAGCCCTCTTTTAGGCCTTGCCTTGTACTTAAGGCACCCAACCCGTGCCCCTTAACCCACGGCACCAAGTCCAAATTATTTTTGGGCTATATTTTCGATCCAATAATATTATTTAGCTTCTACAATCAACCCCATATGACCCCGATTTATTGAATTAATTAAAAGTGACCTGCAATCCATTAATCTGATA